AGAAACGGCGCTAACTGCCTCGGAGCCGAGGGGACTGCGAGGTGCTTTCCAGCCGCCTGGGAAGGGGCGGGAGCTCTCTGCTGCGAGCAGTTGCCTTGGAGAAGGGCAGGGGGTCCAAGCTGGCTTCTAACGTTGCCAAAATAACGGGAACTTCGCTGAAAAGGTGAGTGGCAAAGCAAACATCTGTAGTGGATAGCAGCCGGGCAACCCTGCCAGGACTCTGAAATACCGCTTCCTGCATCCTTCCAAGAAAACTCCCGGAATAAACCCGATCTCCCCGTGTTGTAAATGATCTCGTGTCGTGCTGGGACCAAACAGAACTAGTCTGGCTTAGGAACGGCCTCAATTTGTGTGGTTTTGTGCCGTTCGTTTTTAGCGGAACGGGGCAATAGGTGTACCTGGACTCGGGAGCGGAAGGGAGAGAGCTGGCTTGCTGCGGGAATCACATCCAGCTTAAGCTTTTCAGAAAGATATGAATAAGGACGGAAGGTGCAGATTAAGAAGGAAAAAAAAAAAAAAGAAAAGCACGGAGGTCGCTGGGCTGGAGTTTAGAGTTGCGCAGAATAACGGGGCAACTTCATTCCTGGTGAACACCAAGGGGAGGCGGAGCACGGTATCTGCTCTCTGGAGAAGAACTGTGACGGTGTGAGCCTGTAACGTCTTGGAGGACAACCGAGGAACAACAGGCAGGTGGGAGGACCCAACGGGAGAACTCCAGCTTCACGGGCGCTCTGCGGAGACGATCCGGCGCTGCCTGTGCTTTCCCACAAAGGCTCGGCCCCCAGGAGGCCTGGAGCAGGGAGGATGCCAAGAGCAGCGGCTTGAGGTGATGCAGGGAAGTCTGCTGGGGAGCTGAGAGGGGCTTTGTGGGTCAGGTCTGTTCTCAGTCAAGCCTCGGGGGTCTTTGGGAGTAAAGAAGTTAAGCAGCGTCGAGAGGAGGACGGAGCAAGCCTGGCTGCACAGCGGGAAACGGCACGGAATGATTTAACCGAAGGGTTTAGAGGATAGGACATGAAAGATCTTTGACGTGGCCAAGCAGACGGAGGCTTCTTAGAGCTGGAAGTGATTATCGAGGCCGCTGGACTCCAGCATCTCGCTCACGGCGGGCCGTGCGGCAGCGGGAAGAAACACAGAGTTAATCCACGCAAGGTGCCGCAGGTGGGGGATCGAGGCACAGCGGGAAGGGGCCCTGGCTGCTCCGCGGTCCCTGTGGCACGCCAGGGACGCCAGTGTGGTTCCAAATCCCCCAGCACACGTGGTAATTCCCACCGACGGTGCCCGGCTTCCTCCCCGTGCACCTCGCCAAGCATCACGCGTGGGCTCAGGGCGCCTTTGCCGCGCCAGGGGTTGAACGGGAGCGAAGGTGTTAGCTGGCGGGGCGGCGGGTGATGCGAGAAGCCTCTCGCTACCGAGCGTGTCGAGCCGTGGTCTGCAAACCCGCCGCGACGGCGGAGAGCAGCGGAGTGGACTGTGAGCACTTCTGCGCCCGTCTTCGATCGCCGTCGGGCTGTAAGTTTTTACAGGAGAGCGTCAAAAATGGGATGGATTCAGAGGATCTCTAAAAACCCCCAAGCTGAAGCATCCCCGAAGCAGCAGAACGGAGCAATTCCTCCTCTAGCCCCCTCTTTTCGTTCTCAACTTTCTGAAACTTTTGAGGCAGAAATCTTGAAGCCTTGGGCCGTGTCCAAAGGAGCTTGGTGGGGGCAGGAGCGTGGGAGGCGGATTAAACAAACAGTTGAGCTGTTTTGAGAATGAGTACAAAAATACTGCTCCCTGTTGAAATTCTTGTGACCTTTTTATCAGCTCAGCAGCTGAAATAGCCGGATGCAAAAGTTACAGCTTGCCTTAGAAATGGACGGTGCCGTCAAGAAGGGTGTCTGAGGGAAGATGGTTTGATTTTTATTTTTTTTATGTATTCCCGGGAGCCTTTGAAAGCCACGTGCTGAGCACCCTTCCCTGTCTACCCCCCCCCCCCTTCCCTGGGGCCCCAAAAGGGAAGGACTGGGCTGTGTCCGTGCGGTTCCCTGACCGTAGGGGATTTAACCAACCTCGCGCTGTCTCTGGCAGAAGATGTTGTCCGAACTGCCTTTGTAGTCCTGGAATTAAAAACTGGGGAGCAGAGCCTCTGGGTTTTGTGCTGCAGGGAGCCTGTGCGCGTTGCTCCCCCTGGGACAGACACTAACGTAGTAATTTGTAGCATGAAACGATGCTCGGCGCGCGCTGAATCCGGGTGAGCAATTAGTCTGAAGATCCGTAGTAAACACAGCACTCGCTGTACACTCCAAATTAAATATAGCCCGGAACAGAGTGGGAATTGGAAGGCAGATCTAGGACACTCGAGTTCGCAGCTCAGAAGCTTCCTCGGCGCCTGGTTGGTGCCGTGAAAAGCTGCGCTGCCGAGGGGAGGGGAGACGGCGTGCGTGCAGCTGTGTGTGCCGACGGCGTGCGCAGCTCCCGCCCCGGCGAGGGTTCTGCCGGCCCGAAGGCGAGCGAGCGGGGCGTATCCGGGGCGAGCAGGGCGTGAGGCTGAGCGTGCAACCCCCAGGCTGGACTTGTTGTGAAGGGTGTGCCCGCCCGAGGGGCGAGAGGCTCATCCATCGAGGGCATTTGGTTTTCCACCGCTGAACTCTTGCCCTCGTGCAGTTACGAAAGGTGAGCTGCTTCCTGGTAGCCTCCCCGAGCAGCGAGCTGCGTCTTGCCCCGTTGCTCAGGACAAGCTGACGTCCTCGCCAGCCAAGCCCTCCACGGCGTGCGGGGCGCGTGCGCTCAGCGGATGGGGAGAGCAAAGCTCTTGTAGTTGAAGTTGGGAGGAGAAAAATCAAGCCAGTGCGGGTCGCCAGTGGGGTAAAGCCTTGTGGTTCTGCTCCCTTCTCCGCTTCCTTACAGGTAAAAAAACGCTCCGGGGTTTGTCAAGCATGGCAAAGCAGAGCCCGTCACCCCATCTTGGGGGCGCCGGTAATCCTCATTGCTGGGGAAAGGAGGTGTTGATCCCGTCGCTGCGGGGCTCGCGTTAATGCTTGGCCAGTCAGAGAGCTGGGCAGCTGGGCTGGAGACGTGCAAGAGGGATTTCCACGTTGTCCAGGGGGAAGAGCAGATGCTGGGAGGGGGGGATTGCACGAGCGAGGGGTTGTCATAAGGCTGGGGCACGGCGTGGTTTTGCAGAGCAGTGGGGAAGAGCAGTCGGGTGCTGAGAGGGGTCTGCTGGGCCAGGGGGGAAGCGCGGGGAGTTGTCATCCTCGCTGCAAAAATGAGGCGTGGAAAGAGGACGCACCGCGGCGGCGTGCCACCGAGGGGAGGGGACAGCGCTCCGGGCGGGAGGAGCTGGCTGGTGAGAGAGAACAGGCAGCGGCTCTGTTTGCCCTGGCTTCATTCACGGCAGTGATTCGCCACCTCCTAACTGCGCACGGACCCAAAGACGCGTGGTTTGGGTGCTAAACCTTTGGACTCGGCTCCGCCTGCCCCCACACA